AGTTGACACATACCTGCTTCAAGGGTACACAAAAACGGAGGCACCTAAAATCAGGGGACACTTTGTAAAATTTGGGCCTAAATTTCTAGCTTTCTGAGTGCAACCCAGAATGGAAATAGAATGACTATGTTCCATGTAGACAATCTAAAAAACAGTAGCTCTGAGATGTGTTAATTATCTCGTTCATATCAACAGAGTGTCAAAGGGACAGCATCACCTTGAAATCTAGTCAATTTAATAAATGAGTTCAAAGTATTTCAGGTACTAAACCAGCTCTGCAGCCCCGACCAATTGTTGTGGTTTTACAATCACATTTTCTTAATTTTTAAATAAGTGTTTTTCACTCCCCCAAGGAAACTTACCCTACAAGCGGAACAGTGAAACTGACTATACATAAAGGGCGTGTCTAAAATTTTTGCCACTTTAACTAAACCAGTGTAGTTAAGGCACTAAAAAAACCCTTGTACGAATGCCTTTGAAGTGCTTATATTAGTATAGTTTATTTCAGTTGAAGACTATACTGGTATAACTGTTTCCACACTAGGGCTTATATCAATATAAGTAGCAGTAAAAAAATCACACACCCCCTCAACAAACATAGTTATAGTAGTAAAACTTTTCTAGTGTAGACCAGGCCAAAGTGCTGTCAAATGCACTAAATAAACAAACTGGGGGGGGGGGGAGGGGGGAAGAAATATTCTTCCTTCTAATCCCTTTCAGTTCTAAGGGTTTTCAAGGGTTATTTGTATCAACAGTGGGCACAATGCTATCAACAGAAGTGAGGTTATTTTCAGTTGACTGTGTCTTTAGCTCAGATGCCTGATTTTTAAACGTCAATATTTTTAACTCCCTGTCTCTGTTAATTTTAGCACAAACCTCCAGCTAATGGGCTTATCTGGTGCTGTTGGACGCAGCAGCGAAGACAGGAGGACATATAGCTAGCCTCCATCTGCACTACAGTTATACCCGAGTTGGGACATGGTTACAACAGTTTCAAAACTGTAGATTACACAGGACCTAGCTACGTCCCAGTAAAGTGAGCTGTAACCATTCAGGCCCATGTATGTTAGGGTGATGGACACAATATGGAAACCTGGGTGGGAGTGGGGTTGTCTGGTGTTTAACCTAGGTTCTGGCAACCCACTATTTACAGCTACAGTCCCTCATTTAACTCTTGCAACCAGGTCCTGTGACAGGCCGCAGTGTAGGCAGGGCCTAACAAGATGCACTGCTCTCAGTGGTGAAGTCCTTGCCTGCCCGGTTCTCAGGGCCACCCTCTGCTCAAGTTATACTCCCTGCTGAGAGAAGAGATGAGAGTGAAGCGCTCAGCTCTGGGACTTATTTGCCGAGGAAAGAGTGAAGGAATAAAAAATAAAAGTTCTCTCTGGCCAGTTTTTACCTCTAGCCACTAGTGGCCCTCCTTGGGGCTGCTCCTGTGCTCTTGGCTTTCTGCTACCCCGCAGGGCACAGCAGTGTGGGGAGCCACAGATACCAGGGGGAGGAGGAGCAGGGGCAGGGCTGATCAGGGAAGAAGAGGATCTTGATTTTCCCTTTGTGGCCTCCCCAAAATATCCAGTTTAGGGTCCCACAGCAGGAGGGTGCACGGCCCAGCACAGACTCCCATGCTGCTTCTGGAGGTGGAACCACAGTGTATTTATTATTCATTATTCTTAGTGCTGCAATAGCACCCGTAGTGTAGGCAGGGCCATAGTAAGAGACAGCCCCTTGTCTAGCGTGTACCAACTCCTGGCCACTCTGACCAGCTGCCTGTCTCTTTGAGCAGAGAGGACAAAACAATAGTCTTTGTTATTAAGGAGGGGGCTTCTGGGTGAAATTTGCAAGCTGTGCAATGGAGCAATATTGAGCTGGAAGTAGATTTGCAAAGTGATTGGTGGTGAGAGGGATATGGAGAATTCCTGTGCCCTGGAAATGTCGGGGTCCCGAGAAGCACACGCAAGGAGCTGGTGAAGACGCGTGTGAAGTGTGAGGTAAAAATGTCATGAATTGGAATAGCCTGAAAGTGACGGGATTTATCAAAATCAGTATAAACCAGGCTAAAGTCAATCTAAGCGCACCCCCAAAGGGGCTTGTGCTAGTTTAACTCAATCAGTGTAAAAAAGGAATTGAGCTAAAATGGTGCAATTCTGACTGTAGACAAGGCTCGAGTTCGTGCACATGCTCACACACAGAGATACCCGTGGGGAAGGACCTCTCAGAAATGAACCCTTTCTGCCCCTCCCCCACACCTGGGCCCATGAGTCAGCAATCAGTCCCAGGGAGCCTGCGGGGTCCTTTCATGAGCAGGTCAAAAGAAGGAGTGTTTGTTCAAGGGAATGCCTGTGCCTTTCAGTTGATGCCCATGGGGATTGTCCTGGGCAGGCACGTCTGTGCTTGGGCTAATCCACATCCCGGCATCTCATGGCACTGCAGGCTGGGTAACACGTCCTTCTGCACTCCAGCATCTGCGTAGGTGCAGTGCTGAAACCTCCAGCAGGTTTCTGGCTAATCTAACGTGGAACAACTCTGCTTCGTTAAAAGGAGGAGACCCCCAGGAGCTCCCCAAGCATGTAAAGTGAACTTTGTTTTTAAAGCTGTAATTCCATCCCTTAGACCCTGTCTACACAACTCCAGCTGGGCCAGGAGACCAAGTTACAACATCGTCGTCTCCTAGGTTGGCAACCATATGACTTCATTTTGTGGGACCCAAAGCTCTGGACATGTTGAAGGCTTCAGCATGCTGCAGAGATGCTGTTAAAACAGAGCTGGGGTTTCTCTACACTTCAAGTCTCTGGGGTCACAAACTGGTGATGTGTAGTGTGGAAGGGGACTTAAGTCCAGATCTTGCAAGGCCATTAACATGTTAATTGTCCCAGGGAAGTTAATGGGACTCATCATGTGCATAAGTCCTTGCAGGTCCAGGGTCTTAATTGCTGAAAGGAAGACAGCTGTAGTTATTTTAACAGGAGTTACTGACGTCACCTGATTCTTGTCTTCTTACAGCTTGAGCTCATGCTGCTATTGCAAAGACCAAGAGGTGCAAAAGAACATTTGCCTGCTAAACACTTGTGGCTCCCATCCCTTCAGGATACCCACCCACAATTTGTAGCAGAGGTCCAGAGGAGGCCAGATCTAGAGTTCAATGCCCACAAGCTGTGATCTGGCATCTCAAGGCAGCTGTGTTTAGTGAGAGTTTTTCATGTGGATTCTATCATCACTGTTGTCAGATTATTCCCTGTGAGCCCTGTGCTTCACCATGCCCCAGAAAATAATCTCCCTATGGTTTGCAAGAACAGTTAGGGTGTATTCTCTTGTTACTATGGGGAACTGTCATGCAAGAGGAGATAGAATGCGTCTTCTCCCTGTGGGGCAAACAGTCAGGGCTATCTACGTTCATATATCTGGCATGCATCCAGTGCTTACTTTGTGCCAGGACTTGCCAGGGCTGAGACCCGGCACCTCTAGGCCTGGCAGTTCATAGCCCCAGGATCTCTGGGCTTGTTGCATCAGTTATGAATGTAAAAAAATTGCTTTTTCATTACAAATTAAGGACTGCATGCATGCATCCATCCAGGCTGACACACTAGTGCCTATCACCTTAGCATCCAGTTTATAGACCATTGTTGGACATTAACAAGGCGTTTGCTATTGCAAATATTCTAGCAGGTCTGAAACCATGGACACTGAAATAGAGCTTAAGATAGAGGCGTCTAATTGGCTGGGTGGCAGGTGCAGCACTTAGGAACCCTCATAGCTGTAGAGATGGGTCTGTGTCTCACAGCCAGTTTTCAGCACGCCTTGGTGACTCTTGATTTAAACTGGCAGCTTTTCAAATCAGCTCCCTGTGTTTAAAAAACGGCCTCTCCTCTGCAATGGGCTGTGTGTTGTACAGGGAGTGACCAGCTCCATCGGTTGACAAGGGTGGACCTGCGCAGCTTAAGCTGCAGGAGCAAAAATGTGGGGTGAATGTTCAGAAGACGTTCACAGCTAGAGTACAGAAGCAACTCTGCCACAGAACACGCTGCCATGAGGGGAGGTGAAGCTGACATTGTTGGTGTAAGTCATGGGCAGACCCATCTCTCCAGGACAGCACAGGATTGAAGCTGCCAACTGGGGCACAGCGTTGGGAGGACACAGTGGATGACCCATCAGAGCGGGCTCTTCCAACCCGGCTGATGCTACAGATGACTGCTTAGGACAAGTTAATCAAGGACAGAAATGTACCATGTGCCGTAAAACAAGAAGATGACCTGGTAAATAAGGTAACTGTGCACATGCACTCATTGGTATTATATCCTTTATATTTTATAAGTAATTTCAATTTTCTGAATCCCTTAAATCATAGCTTCTAAAGCCACAAAACACAATTATTCAAATAGGAAACTTTTTTTTTTAAAAAAGAGGGGGCAGTTGTATATTTCTTTCCTTGTCAATGTTCTTAGGATCTGGATTTGTACTGGATAATAACTGCTGGAAAATGAATGGAGATGGTCTATATGGGTTTATGATCCGCTGCATGTTACGTAATATACCCTGGGAATCAGGCTGGGTAATATCTGAGGGTATGTGTGTAAGGAGAGGGGGGTGATCAAAGCATGTGTGTCAGGGTGAAAAATGGCTGTTTAGTGGAATGCAGGAAGTTTTCTACTTTACATACCCAGCATGGCACAGCTGGTGAGGTGTGTCCTGGGTAGGTCCCACCTGCCTCTCAAGCCCTGGATATTGGCCGAGATGGGAGGCAGGACCTGGGATTGGATGGATCAAGGCTCATATCCATTCTGGCAAATCCCATGTTCTGCTGTCTCTTGAGTCCAAGTGTAGCGCGCACATCGGGAACTTCCATTCGTTCATTCCAGTGGGTGACAGACCCATACTGATGACAGCAGCTGTGACTGGCTTAATGTGGAGAGGGCTCTTGTCTTATGGACTGCAACACTGGAGAAAGTCAGTTCTGAAATGGCAGGCTAGCTGCTGGGGATTATGGGTAAACATTGTCAACAAGGTAAAATGCAGAGCAGGATTTTATTGTTCCTCATTGAGAGGGGCTAATTAGATGCACAAATGTTAATCCCCAGCAGAATGGTTTGACCACCCTTAGCTGGTGTGATTGCAAGATCTCTGCATGGTAAAGCCACCCCCCAGAATGCCTTGTGTGCATGCTCCATCTGCCATGCAGCCCTGACCACCACGACCACCAGCACCACCCAGTAGAGGGACCCCTACCCCTCCCGGTCCACCCCACTACAAGGACAGGCTGGAGCGTGGCAGGGAAAATACACAGGGGTCCATGTGCTCTGCTATTCTCAGATGAAAGGTGCTATCTAAGTGCAAATTATTATGAGTGCAGAATGGGGCCAGGCAGGCAGGGCCAGGGCAAGGAGGGATTCCCAGTGGGTTAGAAGAACAGAACTTGTAGCTCCAGTATAAATAAGCCTGCTCTGAAATAAAGGGAGAGAGTCGGGGTGGCGTCGCTGGGAAGAGAGTCAATGGCCAGGGGGTAGGCAGCAACCTCAACAGGCCCCCTCAGGGGTTTACACTCTGGATGGCCATGGATCATATGCACATTGCCAGATGCTACAGCACTGGTGAGCTGAGCCCATGGTAACTATCCCCCTTTCCTCTGGTCACCTCCTCCACACAGCACTTGAATTCAGGAGGTCAGATCTTTGGGGGAATGGGAGCCATCTGGACTGACCTGCTGTGAACAGGATCGACTGAGGCTAGGAATGGTTGACATGCTCAAAGGGCTGAGGGACGGGAGTGTGAAGATTCATCTTCTCCTGGGAGGGGCATTTGTGAGGGGGCCAGCTCGTCCCTAATGCAGAGCAGGGTTAACGCCTCATAGCATGTGCTTTAAGGCATTTTCCATGGGGTCGGCCCACTGGGACTCTGGGCCAGAGGCAGCACAGGTGCTCAGGGAGGAGGGGCACAGCATGTGTACAGAAGGTGGGACGGGCGCCTCCCGGCTCTAGTCGTCTTTGTCTTTGGCTCCGTGCTTGAGGATGCGGGTGAACTCCACGTAGTTGAAGTTGCCTTTCTTGTCGATGGGGGCCTCTCGGTACATCTCGTCCACCTCCTCGTCTGTGAACCTGTCCCCCATGGTGGTGAGCAGCTCGCGCAAATGGTCTTCGTGAATGAAACCTGCAAGGGGGCAATGAATGGCAGGGAAGAGGAAAGATAAAGGAGGTGGAGTTAATGCAGCTGGAGTGGCCGAGCGAATGGAGCCGGGGAACAGAACTCTGAACTGGCTCCTGGGAAGCACTGGCCAGGGAGAGCCCAGGATGACCTAGCACCGGGAGAACGGGGTGTTTCTAAAGAGACTGGTCCAAGGATTTGGCAGCCCTTGCTACATGGTGTCGCGATTCCAGGGACCAAGGACACTGGGCTGCAAATGTTAACAGTGGCACTGCAATGGGACGAGAGCTGCCGTGAACAGGTGGCCGGAGATTCAAATCTGAGCCCCTTAGGAACAGGATGGCCTCTTCCCAGTCAGCGCAGTATGCAAAGCGACCCTGGAGGCCACAGAGAGTGGGATAGTGCCCGCACCCGGGATTCACACTGCCAGGGGGATTCGTGAGGGGCTGAAGGGGAGAGCGTGGGTCTCAGAAGGAGCTCAGTGGATCAGCATCCCCTGCAGGAAGGGTATCCCTCAGCAGACAGCATTTTCTGAGTCAGTGGTTCTGTGATCCTGCAGCCTGGACAGTGCCCCTCAATCGCAGCTCTCGGGACCCCCCGTTATTCCCTTCCCAGGTGGATCTGAGCAAAGGCAGCATCATGCCTTTGTTCTGCAGACAAACCAAGGGAGGACAAGGATGCTGGGTCCCACTCTATGAGCTTGCCAGGCTTTTGAACTAGAGCAAAAGGCTCCTCCTTCGGGCTGGGCATTGGATGGGCCCCAGAAAACTGGCTTAGGCCCGGATCCTCAATGATACGTAGGAGCCTCTCTCCCTTCTGGGCCCTCAGCCCCGGGTTAAAGGCAGCCACCCTGGCCAGCCCCACACACCTCTGCCTGGGAGCCAGGCACTGGGGGAGCAATGCTGCCTGCTCCACTGGCTGGCTCAGCCCAGCATCCCTGGCTGGCATGGGGCTGACTGAGCAGCCAGCCTGGCCCCTGTTACCATACCTGTCGCGTCCTCGTCGAAGCAGGCAAAGGCATTGCGGATGACGTCTTCTGGGTCGGTGCCGTTCAGCTTCTCTCCGAACATGGTGAGGAACATGGTGAAGTTGATGGGACCCGGCGCCTCGCTCATCATGCCCTCCAGGTACTCGTCAGTGGGGTTCTTCCCTGCCATACAGAACCAGCGCAGGGTGAGCCGCTGCACTCCTATGCCTGCTCAGCTGAGGGGCTCTGGGTACTTGAAACATGACTAAAGCCTCATGACACACGGGAATGATTGTTCCCCATTTTACAGGTGGGGAAACTGAGGTATGGAAGTGAAGCAACTGGTCCAAGATCACCCAGCAAGTCAGTGACAGAGCCAGGACTAGAACCTAAGGAGTCCTGATTCCCAGGTCCCTGTTCTAATCACTAGATTAGACCCAAACCCAAGGCAAGCGCATGGCTCGGGGACACCAAAATCGCTCTTTGGGAGGCAGAAATGAGGCCCACAGCCCAGCTGTTCGCTGGTCAGAAATGTCAGCATGGAGGGGCCAGGATCTCACAGGATCTTTCTGGGTAGTCAGACAAACGGGGACCTTAAGCAGCTGGTCCCGTTGGCCCTCAGCCTGCATTCCGGGTGCATCTGGAGGATCCCCCAGTCTGTATCTTCTCTGCCCCCCCTGTTCTAAACCCCATGTGTCCTGACTGGACAAAAGCAGCAGGTAAGTTCATAGATTCATAGATATTTAGGTCAGAAGGGACCATTATGATCCTCTAGTCTGACCTCCTGCATAACGCAGGCCACAGAATTTCACCCACCACTCCTACAAAAAAAACCTCACACCTGTGCTATTGAAGTCCTCAAATTGTAGTTTAAAGACTTCAAGGAGCAGAGAATCCTCCAGCAAGTGACCCATGCCCCATGCTACAGAGGAAGGCGAAAAACCTCCAGGGCCTCTTCCAATCTGCCCTGGAGGAAAATTCCTTCCCGTCCCCAAATATGGCGATCAGCTAAACCCTGAGCACATGGGCAAGATTCATCAGCCAGATACTACAGAAAATTCTTTCCTGGGTAACTCAGATCTCACCCCATCTAATAGCCCATCACAGGCCATTGGGCCTATTTAAGTTCTTCAAAAGCACCCGAGTCCCATCTTCCAAAGTGACTGAGGCACTCAGCAGCCTGGGTCTCACTGGAAGTCAATGGCCCAGATCCTCAAAGGTATTAAGGCACCCAGCTCCCTAACGCCCGTGAGAATCTGGGCCTTAGGTCCTTCTGAAAACATTATGGGTTCGCCTTTCTCGCTGAGTATCCCGGCCAGCTGAGTAGTGCAAAGAAGTGCTCATGAATATTTGTCTTCACTTCTAAATGGGCTCGCTTCGGCCATGTTCACACACCCGGGGCATCCATTTGTCACAATCAGAAGGCTGCATTGTGCCAGCACGTGTGTCCCTGCAGTGCCAGCATTCCACTTGCTTTCCAGCAGGGTTCACCACAGATACGGGACCATAAGGGTTCCCGCCAGCCCGCTCAAGGACATGGACCGCATGACTGCCGACAGCCTGAGGGCTGGAGCGCTGGCATGCAAATTCGGAACGGCTGGCCTCCGGGGAAGCTAAATTCCTGACACGTGTCCCCCAGGAAGTTTGATTAACCCGCAGAGTGGAGAGAATCCCAGTCTGCCCCTGCCTGCTGCCCAGAGAGAGGGGCAACCTTGTCTGACAATCTATTCCTCACCCAGACCCCTTCATTCAGCTCTTCCCATTCCATCAGACCGCTTTTCCCTCAGCGGGAGCCGGCCTGTACAGCTCAGTGCCCTCTGGTGGGTGCGGCTGCAAACAGCTCTCTTTGTGCCCGGCTTCAAAACACACGTTTTACAGTCTGAGCCCAGCCCCTCTTCCCCTCGCTTTTGTGTGCAGTTAGGTGGGGAATGGGGGGAGCTCTGCCTCCTGGCTGCACTAGGACTTCAGAACAGGTTTGGTAGCCAGGTCAATAATTGACAGACCTCCTGGGTAGTGGGGGGGACTGCGGAGGCAGGAAGGAAAGAGGAGAGAGGAGGTTGAAATCCACCTGGCCTGCAGCTAAGCAGAAAGAACTTTGGGTGGGGGAACTTGGCAAAACTTGCAAGTCAAAACGAGCTGGAGCCTTGGGCTCTGCTCCTATCCCCAGAGAGCCTTTTTTGTGCTGGCTGACCTGCTAAACAAGCCAGGGCAGCGCTGGCTGGGAATCTCAGTCACACACGTACACCTTTCCGAAAGCTCTGGAGAGCAGCGTCTCCAAAGAAAACAGTCCCATAACCCTCCTTCCTCTCCGGCTCAGGCTGTTGTGGCTGTGAACTTTAGTGCTCGGGCGGAGTGGAGAAGTAATGAGCAACAGGGTACAAACAGTAATAATACTTTGTGCTTACGCAGACCTTTTCGCCCATGGATCTCAGTGCAGTTTACTAAGGAGGCAGGGGAATCATTGTCCCCTTTCTACAGATGGGGAAACTGAGGTACAGAAGGGAAGGGATTTGCTCAAGGTTACACAGCAACTTGATGGCAGAGCTGGGAATAGAAACCCAGGTCTCCCCACCCGGTGTCCTGGAAATACCCACCACTGCGATTTCTTGTGGAGTATTGGCATTTCCTTTATTGTTAGCTGAATGCAAGCAATTGGGGGAGGGAGGAGGAGGAGTATTAGCTCTTCCAAAGACCTTCAGAACATGGCCCAAGGCAATGCTGTTTTCCTGCAGCCTTGTCTACATTATGTTTTGCCACTTTAATTATAGTAAAAGGGGGAAAAAAACCCAAAATCCAAGTGTGGGTGCAATTATACTGTTATTAAAGTGCTTAGACCAGTGTAGCTTACTGCAGTTCAGCAAAGCCGGCATAAAGAGCCTCATACCACTATCACTATGCTAGAGCTTTACTGGCATAACTGTGCTGGCAAAAACACACGTGTGTGCGCCGCCCGCCTCTGCCCAACAGAGCCATGCCAGTAAAACTTTTCAAGTGTTGACTGGGCCTGCGTCTGCCCACAGACAAACAGCTGAGAGGTGGGGCCTGCTCCTTCCACACCAAAGGGGTGCGAACATGGGTCTAACTGAGAAGTAGCTGCATTAACTATTTCAGTGCTGGCACTTTAAGGAGAAGCCTCCAGTTATTACGCTCCCCCCATGTGGTTAGGTTGATTTGAAAGGATGCTCCATAGGGATGAATGGTTTAGCACATATTTGGGGGCGGGGGGTGGGCCTTAACACAGGACAAAGGAAGGGGGAAGGGGAAGACATTCAAGGGCAAAACCCAGTGGGAGGGGGATAGGAAGGAAGCTCTTTGGGGAGCTGTCTGTGCAGCACCAACCACAGTGGGGCCCAACCTGTAGGCCTCTGGACACTACTGCAGTAGAAATGTAAACCATAATCAGCCACTTTCTATATGCCCTGGGAGGGGAGAGACCCCTGCAGCATGTGGTGAGATTTCCAGGGCGCTGGCTCTATACCACAGCCAGAATATTTGTATTTCAGCCTACCTGGCTTCTCTTTTACAGCCCAGAGCCCTGTCTGCCCTGCAGCTTGACCCGTGCTAGCAACAAGCGGGAATCAGGACCCATAAGGTATTAGCATGGCCTGGGGGCTGTATTTACACACACTTCTTTGGGACAGGGATGGGAAACCCTGTGCCAATGAGGGCTCTGCTGTGCCCCAGAGATACTGGCCCCCACCCCAGGGTGCTGCCACTCAGCCTCAGGGTTCTTGCAAGGGAAGTCAGGTGATTTGCAGCCCAGACTGGCCTCAGTGACCAATGACCCCCTCTGGGCCACAACCAGGGAGCCAACGTAGTCAGGGCAGATCCTAGAGTAAACCAAACCCAGGGACAGTCTTTAGAGCCACCGTGGCTCAGACTGTGCTATAAACAGTCGGGCCTCGGGTCCGTGGGAGGCAGGGAGCGGAGCTTTGAGTCACATCCCGTCCAGCCCCGCCGGTGGAAGAGGAAGGGAGAGATCACGAGTGCTGGACTAACGCAACCAAAGGGGTGGGTAAAAGGTTTTGTCTGGCCCTGGGGGGCAGCACCCTGGGGTGGCCTCAAATAGATTTCAATAGCTGGGTGCGGATCCAGAACTCGGCACATTTCCCTGCATAGAGGGGACTGTGACAGGGATTGGGCTGGAGTGTTTTCCCACCCCTACTCCCGAGGGTCTCTCCCTGGAGAGGGTGATGGTGCTGGAAGTGGAGCAGCAGAACAGGGTTCACCTACATAACCCACAACGAACAGGTAGCTGTCACCCCCCAGTGGCCAGCGTGTGTATAGCAGTTTGATTCTGCTCTGTTAGCTCAAGGAGTAAAGGCTCCTGCTTTCAGACCCAGAGGTCCCGTGTTTGATTCCCAAAGACGCACCAACCCAGGGACAGTGTTACCTCTGCAGGGGAGTATTCTGCACCAACGTAGCTGTACCAGTACAGATTCCTTGTGCAGACACACTGCAGCAGTGTGAAAAGTGACAAGTCACTTTTTTCACCTGTGTTGCTCACCTGCACTAGGGATTTGCACTGGTGGAGCAGTGTTAGTGTTGCTTCCCCAGTGCAAAGGGTTCCTGGGATAGACAAGCCCCAGCCTTTACTGAACTGTGCTGCCAGTTTCCCTGAGGGGATCGTTTATTTAAATAGGAGGGTGACGCGGAAGAGAGGGCTGAAGAGGTCAGAGACCTTCAACATAGAGTAACTGTCAAATACCTATAGGAGGAAAGGGCTACTCCCCGTTCCCCAAGCACAGTCCCTGTGGCCTACCAGCTGACCAGTGCAGGCACCCTGTTGGATTGGCACTTGTTACCTAGAGACGCCAGCATGTCATGCAGATCCTCCTTGTCGATGAAGCCATCGCGGTTCTGGTCAATCATGTTGAAAGCCTCCTTGAACTCCTGGATTTGCGACTGGTCAAACATGGCAAAGACATTGGAAGTAGCACGCTGGGGGCGCTTCTTGGTGGTTTTGGCCTTGGCTCTCTTGCTGGACATCTTGGCAGCTGGTGATCTACCTCCTGAGTGAGACAGGGAAAGCAGAAAGGAGACTGACCAACCAGGGGAACAGACAGACTCAACAGGAATGGAGTGGAGCAATCTATCTGAGTGATTTCAGCAGGGCCTGCATCGACACTGGCCTTTTTCTAGGCCTTTTCCAGAGTCCGCTCTTACACTGACCCACCCACGCTCCCTCCATGTAAGACATTAAGAATGTGAGAAGAGAAAAATACTCCAGGAAGCGAGCTAGCAGCCTTCTCGGCCGAGATCTGCCCCTGCAGCCGCTTCTGGTGTGCAGTCACCAGGCCACCAGCTGTACCCGCTGGTCTCAGACTCCAAACTGTCCTTTGGGGCCTTTAATTAGCCCAGTCTGCAGAGAGAGGCTTCTAGCTGAGCATCCAGCAGCTCCACCCAGGGCTGGCTCCAGGCACCAGCTTTCCAAGCAGGTGCTCGGGGCGGCTTTTAGAATGGGGCGGCCGTCCGTGTCCCGCGGCGGCAATTTGGCGGCAGCTCCGTTGCTGTTGTGGAGGCGGCGATTCGGCGGTGGCTGCTTGGGGCGGCAAAATTGGTAGAGCCCCCCCCCCGGCTCCGCCATGGGGACCTGCCTCCCCTGCTACAGCAGCTTGCTAGGGGCTGTGAGGGTCCTGGATCAAGTCTCAAGTGTCATGGGGCTTATGTGACAAATCCCCCATCGCCCCTCCAGGGAGGGACTCCACACTATGGGCACTTGGAGTGTGCCAGACTTTGCCCCACTTGCTGCGGGTGTAAGCTCGGTGTAACTCCACCACCCCTAGTGTATGTGCCTGAAAGCAGAATTTGGCCCATCCTTAACCAGAAGAGCCCTGTGCAATAGACAAGCATCCCTCAGGATACTGGGGAGAGGGGGGCTCCCTGGTCAGAGGGGGCCCAGCAGATGGAGTGCTGCAGAGCTGCCTGTTACTGACCCCAGTCCCCTGAGCCCAAGGGCAACCCCTCAGGTCAGGCAGAGTGTCCCCGTCTTTAGGATTCTTGCACGGAAGGGGTTATAGATGTGCAGAGAGTTCCCAATACCAGGGCAAGAGCCCGGCCATCCTCCCCTCCATCACAAAGCCTTGCAGTGATCTGCTTGCCTTGTACACTTTAAACACACAAAGAAAGGCTCACAAACGAAGACCTGGGCTCTGGGCTGCCTTCCCAGTGCAGGCCCTGTTAGGAACAAGCAGGAAGTTGGTTATCTGCTCCTTGCAGATTCCTAGCATTCCACTCCCCGCCCCCTGCCCTCTTTGTTTCGCCAGAAAGCCGTTTGCCGAGCTGGGCTCACCCCCGCAGCAGCAGCTTGTGACCTAGGGCTAGGGGGTTCCAGCACACTGAGCTGTAATCTGGGGCAGGGGACGGGGGAGAGGGCTGTGATTTACACCCAGGATGGCCTAATGAGCATATCCAGCAGCCCCGTGCAGGAGAGCAGCAGCCACTCTTGCATGGGTGGGCTCTGTCACGGCAGGGAGAGGGTTAACAGTTACAGATCTCAGAGCACCTGGCCCTGAGCTCACTCACACTGCCCCCATCCCCTCCCCTAGCAAGGCCATGAGACTCAGCTCAGAGAACAGCCGCTATGTCTCCCAGCTCCTAAGCAGGGTGCGGCATTGCAGCCTGCAGGGGAGAGGCCAGGCCCCTTCATGCCAGCACCTTTGCTGAGCATTTGCCATGGGGGCTGCTGATACCATCATGCCAGGCCTGCTTTCTAAACCCCAGCAAGTCTCCTAGCAACTCCCCTGGCTGGGGATTGCCCCCAGCCAGGTGCCTGCCCATCATTCCTGCATGGGTCACGTGACTCGCTATCCTGTTACTGTATCAGCTGGGTGGGAACAGGCTGCTCTCCCCAGATCTTCAGTAGGTGAACAGTCCGCAGTCTGCTGCATAGTTGAATATTTTTTCCCTGTAGCCTGGTTGTGGCTCTTCCTCTGATCATCTGCTTAGGGATTTAATTGCTCTGGTAAGTTCCAGTCACATCACCTGCTTGGTATGCCCTAATGGTGCAAGGCATCTTGCTGCTGGATGGACTCCCCACCTACCTGGTCCATTTCACCTGGTCAGTTACCGCCCAAGGGCTCAGTTCAGGGTACCATCATCAGCCCACCCTAACTGACTGATTCCCACATGGCTGCACCTCACCTGCCAACTGAGGGACTTGAGTCATCATTGCCCCTTTTCAGGCTCCTGCACAGGGGAGGTAGGACAGGTGTCACCTGCCTCTCCAGGGAAAAATCCTTCATTCCGGGGGGCCTATGCATTACCTCCACAGAGAGCTGTGGGTGGGTGCAGGAATCATGGCCAGGGAATACCAGCACCCCGCAGTGGCTGTTGTAACAAGAGTGGGAGTTACTGTGGCTGCCAAATGAACTCACATGGGCCATGATAAAAGACACAAACATCCTATCATTTGTGGGTGAGCACTTCTCACAAAGCAACCGCTCCATAAACCTCTCAGTCCTCGGCCGCAAAGGAAACCCGCACAGCACTGTCAAAAGAGCTTAAACTCATTACTCTGCTGCTGGGGTGGGGGAAGGTCAATGATCCCAAAGGTCACAGGAACTTCCTGACCCCTGGAGGTTTCTACCTTCGTGTCTGCACACAAACTTGCAGTGGTTTGGTTACAGGTGTGGTTTTAAACTGACTCTGTTATACTGAAAAGGGTTTGGTGCTAGTTTAAGAGTGTCGTATATCCGCTTAGCACATGTCTTCCCTATTGACTTCAGCTAAACTGCAGTAAGCCACTCTTAAACCGGGACATGAGCATCTACCCAGGACCTGGCACCTATTTAACTGACCTAATTTTTAAACAAATTCACCTACTAACCAGTGCAGCATTCTTGTGTAGACAAGGCCTTGGAGCGGCTGCTAGGCCTGTACAGCAGGAGCAAACACTAGGCCCACGGCAATAGCAAGTTCAAAGCCCAGCTGCCTAATGCAGCAAGAGGGCTCCAGGAGAGGCTCATTCAGTCAATCTCATAGCAGCTGGAGGTAGAGACTTAGTTTAAGGCTGCGACAGCCTCTCACTACATGCAGGTAACAGCCCACAGCTAGGGATGAATCCACTGTTATGTTTGCCACAGGATGGCACTGATGAGTCACAACTGCTTCCTCTCCCTCACCCGTCATCGCAGGAGACCGTAACCCGGTAATGTTACTAACCGATTAGTTGCAATAATACCAGGCACTTATATTGTGCTTCACACAGCTGAGTCCTCCCAACGCCTCTGGGGAAGTAGGTTGGTATCATCACCCCATTTTGCAGCAAGTGCATTTTACCCCCATTTTGCAGATGGGAAAACTGAGGCAGAGGCGGAAGCCCATATTTCCAAGCATTCCCTCATTCTGGGTGCCCAAACTGAGTTGTCAAGGATCTGATTTTCAGAGGTGCTGTGCACCCACAACTGCCATTGTCTTCAGCGGGAGACTAGGGTGCTTCTCTGAAAGCCAGACCGCTTCCTTTAAGATGTCTCAAGTGGGGCACCCAGAGTTAATGCAGATGGTTAGCCCCACATTTCCAAGCAACTTGCCTAGCATAACTCAACAACCAGCAGGAGAGACAGGATGAGAACTGGGGGCCTCCTGGTTCCGAGCCCCTTGTGCATGGATCTGTGCCTCAGGCCTGCTGGCTGATCAAGTTCAGAATGTCCCTAGTGGTTAAAGCACAGAACTGGGAGTCAGGAGATCTGCATGCTGTTTATAGCCTTCCATGCGATGACCTTGGGCAAGTCACATCATTGCTCTGTGCCTCAGTTTCTCCATCAGTGAAGCGTGGATGTTAGCACGCACCTGCTGTGCGGGGGGAGGTGTGAGGCTGAATTCATGCCTGTTTGGAAAGTGCTTTAAGCTCCATGGGGGGAAGTGTAGAGTATTGTTATGATTGGTGTGTGCCCCCTATGCCAGGCTGGGGAACACGCCCACCTGCATTCCTGGCTTATGTGGCATGGGTCACAAAGCAGTTAAGGCACCATGTCATGTTGCATTAGGCTGCACGATACCGCTCAGTGCTATGTGCCAGAAAACACACCCCGGCTGTTTTGGCCACCTCATGTGAGCTGTTCTGGGAAAGGCCATCCACGCTTTGCAACTGGGGCATTGCTACGGACAAACCTAACAAGGCCTTTGGGACAACCATAGGACCAGGATCTCCTCAGAGTCTGCAAGCCAAGGTTGGACAGGATGCACCCAGAGCAGGAGAGCCTGTCCCCACGTGATGGACTGGCACGTGGGCACCCTTCTCTTGCCTTTCCTGCCATGCCGTGGCACAGCTGCCGCTGCCGAGCCCCTCACTCCTGTTTTTTCTTCTCTCATTCTGTTTTCTTTCTCCTCCTCCGTTTGCGGTGTATTTCCCCCTTTCTTTCTTCTTTCGCGGCTCCTGTTCCCCTTCCCTTTCCCAGCGAAGCTGCATTGGTGGGGGGCGCGAGGGCAGTCAGGGTGCAGGGGTGTGAACCACACCATGGAGCCTGAAAGCGCTCCCCGCTGCCTGGCCCTTGCCTCACACGAGCATCCTTTGGGAGCAGCCTCCTCTCGCTGGAGCTGCGTTGGCCAGAGACGGCCCCACCGACGTGGTGCAAGAGGCCTCCGAGCCCCAACCGCTGTTTTACCGCCGTTACTTCTCTGCACCCCAGTACCTACTGACATGGCTAGGGTGCCCCTGAGTATTGCATTGGGGCAGGGCTGTCGTGACTGCAGCAATCTCCTGCTGCTGCTTCCCTGAACCCATCTGCTCATCCTGCCTCTTACCACCGTGCTCTGGTGCTCTTGCCCCTTATATCTGCTACATGAAGAGCACCCGTTATTGCCCCGGGCCCCAGCTCTAGACTGAGGAAACGCTACAAGAGACCTTAGTGTTTGGACAGCCTGGGGAGGGCTCCGACCAGGGAAATGGTACTGCAAGTTAGCCCCTTTTAGAGGAATGACACATTTAAGTGCCAATCCGGTAATACAGCTTCCCTCCGAGAGGTGCCGGCTCATCTCTGGCCTGGGGGCTGCCCTGTGCCCGCTGCGACGT